GACAGATTTACAGGGTGATATGAAAAACTGAATTTATATCACCAAGGTGAATTGCCTTATAATCCCTTTCACTTCCTGAAAGGACCCTGACTGTAGTATCTATATTTCCGTTTCTCCCATGATCTCCCACTTACTAAGTTTGCTAGTTCCCTTCTCTAAACAAGGGCATGCACTTTGAGTCTTCCTTCTTGCACCGAACTGCCCCGACTCCTACTTTTCCAAACACATGTCTAAGATTGGATTACCTCCCATGTGCACTTCCCGTCTTCCCACTTGCAATCTATCCCTACTCCATATCATCCTGCACACTGTCACTACATTTATAGACCACACACACCACACCATGATCTTTAACTGACAGCCATCAGTGGCACCCTGTTGGCTTAATACCTGTGCTCCCGCTTTCTACCTCCTAACCTTGTAATGCACATGGCAGAAAACGCAAGGTGATCACAGCACTCTTTCTGGAAGAGCAACCAGAAAAAAATCCCTCCCAACATAATCTTTCAGTAGCTACTATTGATCAGTACAAACTGTCATTTGGGAAGGACCTATTTAGATCCTGCAATAAAAGATCCCTGATGTAAAAAATACAAAACCATGATATGAAAAAATCAAACCTAAACTGCTTGGTTTGTATTGCAGAACTCCAGAATGTTTCCTATTACTCTCTCAAACTGTTATCTATCATTCTATACATTAACACCTATGAACCTACGGGGGAAAAAAATGTGAAAAGGTTTTGAAATGGAACAAAAACGGACTAGGTATCTTCAGTGAAGGACTAGTTTTTGCCTAGCACAACAATCTGGGTTTTCTGATTCTGCCTTGAGTTATTTATAACTTTATGAGTTGCAGATAACTGATTGCAATGTAAATGATTTTTGTTCACAGACAATAAATTTTGTCTGGGAGCGTTCCATTGATTTTCCCTCCCCATTGTAGAAGAAGCCAATTTTGCCTTTATTTAAAACACATTTCAGCACTCTGTAGTGCCTACATATGAGCGATTCTTTAAATGCTCCTTTAAGTCATTTGTAACTTCTTCTTCATTCCCTCATTAATTAATGAGTTAAATAAACACATTTGTCACGAGTTCATTTTATATGTGTATGGGAGTCATGATTTCACCTTTAAAAATCCTTTTAACAAACTCTTTTGTTCATTACTGCCTTTAGACTTTGATTACATCTCCAACATGAAAAGACTTCTCTGGCTCTTTCGACCTGACTCTACTGATTCTTCCTATTTCTGAAATAAATTTAAGCTCCTTATCATGTCCTGAAACTGCAAAATCCATGATTTTCACAGTGAACCCAGATCACGATGATGCCTCAATTTTCTTTACAATTATCTTTTCTTCAAAATAGTTTCTGCAAAATGCACCATCTTTTTCATTCATGTACTGTATTTTTTAAATCTTTTTACCTTTCATCATTAATTCATTTAAATGAATGTGTCTTCCTTCTTCAATTAGAGTACAAATTCCTTGAAGGCACTGATCACAATTTATTTTCCTGTTCTCTTCCTGGTGTCAACACAATGCCTCATATTGAGCCCACTGCTGAGTCCCATCCATGGCCCATGAGATGGGGCTCTCAATCAAGGTTTTTTTTTTTTTTTTTTCCCCCATGTAATCACTTAGCTATATTTAGGGAATCAACCCGTTCTATTTTGGCTGAAGGTGGTTCCATTCCAGAAAAATTTACATTCATATTTACTGAAGATGGTTAGAGCTTCTGTGAAATACCGAATAGAATACAGTACTAACCAGGAAGTCTAGCAAATAAAGAATACATTGCTGTGCTTCTGGGGAATTTCTTGCAACTACTGGATTAATGCTGTTTATTCCTAAGCACAGTCTTATGTGAGGTTGAGATATATTCAGTTTGACACACATTCCTTCATTCTACAAATGTTTATTGATTGTCTACTATATATCAAACATTTTTGACAGATCCTGGCAATGCATTTGCAAATAAAATGCAGTTTCTACTCCAAGGAGCTTACCTGCTAGTAAAGAAAGAGAGGGAAAAGTTGAGGAAGACAGGGAAAAGTGGATATGTGATTGTGACCTAAGCATATAGGTAACTGGTGGCAAGCTAAGTTGAATTTCTTATTATGATGAAAAGGCAATCTTCTTTTAGGGTATTATAACTACTGAACAGCTAAAATCAATCTATTATAAATACTCCTAATGGAATGGTGAAATTTCAAACATTTGGAGATTGATATCCCCATGATATATATCCTACATACAGTACCTTCTGTACTCTTAATAATAACTCAACCAAATATGGATCACCAATATTTTTCTAAGTTTTAAGGGCTGACTTGAGAAAGAATAATAAATGTTCTTGAGATGGCTTTCAGCATGTTTGATTTTATAAACTACAAAGTATTTTATCAGTTGAATAGTCTGCCAAGTACATTAAATTCTGTCCCTTAAAATGTCATATGAAATCAAAGGACTTCATAATATTTGATCATTAACATTACTGAGCATTTTAATTTTTATGGTTTTATTTATAATCATTTCAAATTGAAACTATCAAAAAACTACTGTTTAAAACCTAGTCCATTTAATCCATTTAATTTTTCCCATGATGACTTTTAATTTTACCTTTATTCTTATGCAAACCCTTAGGATAGGACATTTAAGATTCTATTCCTACAGAACAGAATCTTTATTTATCTAATCTTTTTGTTAGTGAAGAGATTAGATAAATAAAAGAATTAACAAATACAAATAGTCACTGTTGCTGAAAAAATTTTTCGTTTTGCATAGTATATAGGTAGAATTCAAATGATTAAATAAAAAAGTAATAGTCAATCACATAATGGTAACAATAACATATGCTTGGTCCTAAATATTTTCACAGGTATTTTCTCTCTTAATTCTTAAAATAACCTGATTAAATAATTTAAATAACTGTTTTCACAGATGAAGAAATCAAGAAAGAAGTCATTTGCTAAAGGCTGTATAAGTGGCATTTTGTAAGTCAAATCCAGGTCTTCAAACTCGAAATTCTATTTTTGTTCAAGTTTTTAAAAAGAGCCTTTAATTCACAAGCCAAATTCTGTTGGCAAGACACTTTCTAAGGCTAAGTAAAATCTATGTGGAAGAACACTAAACATTTTATTCACCAACAATGTCACCACACTGAAACTGAGATTAGCGTACTTTCTAAATGGCCCAGTTAAATCTCAGGAAGAAGCTATTCATCCACAGGTCTGGACACTGTCAGTTATCACTTGCTTGCATATTACTAAAATGTGGTAAGCATCTTTCCTCTCTTCATACTCACAAACACTTCATTTTTTATTAACTTTATTATCTAAAGAATTTTTCCTGCTATTAAAAATATAAGAAGAAAAAAAATCACCACTACTAAGATATTTGTAGTATTTTATATATTTTCTTAGCCTCCTAAAATGTAAAATATGTATATTTAATATTTTTGTCACACTTCATATATCTTACATCACTTTTTCATATATTAGCTTGGCAATATTTACTTTTTTTAAAACCTGACTTTTTATGGCTGCATAGTATTTCATCAAATAATTGAAAAACAGAAAGGAATAAAATTAAAATCCATAAATCTTATCTAACTTATCAGTGATGTGGTTACTCTATTTTGTTCTTTTTTTATATGCCTATATGTCATCATTAAGGGACACACAATTTTATATCTTGAATTTTTTTCCATTTAATATTATAAGCTTTTGCATAACCATTGTGGCATGTTGGATGAAAAATTCCTTACTCAATGGAACCATAACTTTATTGACAAACAATAAATTGGTTTTCCTTTTTTTTGGAGCCAGAGTCTTACACTGTCACCCAGGCTGGAGTGCAGTGGCATGAACTCCACTCACTGCAACCTCTGCCTCCCAGGTTCAAGCGATTCTCCTGCCTCAGCCTTCTGAGTAGCTGGGATTACAGGCACATGCCATTTCCCGCTAATTTTTGTATTTTTAGTAGAGACAGGGTTTCACCACATTGACCAGTCTAGTCTCGAACTCCTGACCTCAAGTGATTCAGCCTCCCAAAGTGCTCAGATTACAGGCATGAGCCATCATGCCCGGCCCTGGTTTTCCTTTTCATAATTTAAAAATAATTTTTCTTTTTTTTCTTTTTGAGACAGAGTTTTACTCTGTCACCAGGCTGGAGTGCAGTGGTGCAATCTCGGCTCACTGCAACCTCTGCCTCTGGGGTTCAAACAATTCTCCTGCCTCAGCCTCCCAAGTAGCTGGGACTACAGGCATGCGCTACCAAGTACAGCTAATTTTTTTGTATTTTTAGTAGAGACGGGGTTTCACCATGTTGACCATACTAGTCTCAAACTCCTGACCTCAGGTGATCTGCCTACCTGGGCCTCCCAAAGTGCGGGGATTACTGGCCTGAGCCACTACACCTGGCCAAAAATAATTTTTGAATAAATTTCAAATAATTTTTCTATAAATATTGTATGTATGTAGTTTTTGCATCTATGAACTTGAAAAATTATTTCTTACTAGTACATTCCTACGAGTAAGATTATTCAGAAAAAGCTGGCATGCTTTTATTCTTTTTGTGATACTGGTGAAAATAAGTTAAATGAATGTTAAAACCTTAGACTTGAAAGGATAAATAGAAACCTAACCTCAGTTTCTTATCAATCCTTTTAGTGATTGTAAACTACAATAAAAAACACACAAAGTAATGACTATATTTAAACTAATTATGTTTTTCATATATTAATACATTTTGACATCAGAAGTCCTGAGAGATGTGACCACTTAAATATGCTTATGTTTTTATTTAATTTATTTTTTCATTTTACAGTCTATATCCACATACCTTTTAGATACAGTTTAACTCCTTTTTCCCTTTGACATCTTAGGTGTAGTTTTAAAAATGATTTCTGAAACTGCTTCCTTTGGTGTGCTCTGAAATTCACATCAGGAGACAGCAGTAATTCTGACACAAGGAGAAAGAAAATGTCCCAACTTACCGTTTCTAATGCAATTACACGGTCCTGCAAAGAAAGCATGATATATAATTATAAAACGAAGGCTGTTAAAAATTGTTTCAAGTTTACTTAATTTATAGGTATTCAATTTACCATCTATATTAATAATTTATTTTAAAAATGTAAAAAATGAGAACTACTCAGAATGATCTCTGTAACAGAAAAACAGTCATCAAAGAATCACTGTATCTTTTTTCATCTTATTTAGTGTTAGGACTATTGGGTTTAACAGTAAATACTACAATTCTAGTACAAGTTACTAAAAGGAATAGATCTTACTACTTTCACAATGGTAAATTTATTGATAAGGATATAAAATGTTAGATGTGATTATACGAATCACAGCTAGACAAGAGCAGTGATACAGACAAGGAATTAAGCACACATAGTAGCTCTTAATTATATATACAGTGAAAAATGTGGCCTCCACAGCAAGGCAAAATTCAGACGTTTCTTCATCAATTAAAATAAATGAGTAAATCATTACTGAAAACAAGGCAGGAAAATAAGTCAGGAAGATATGGCACATGCATCCAATCCTGAGCCCAGATAGGTCTTCATTGCTTAGAGCATCTTAGAATGCTTACAGAAGGATTGGCTTTTAAGGGGGTCATTGATAAGTAGGCATCAAAAGCTGAATGATTAAGAAAATAAATGTTTGTATTCTCAACTCCATAACTGTACTCTCAAGCCTTTCCAGAGGTGATGTCTATAAACAGGAAGTCTTTACCAAATAAAGACCAAATATGAGAGAAAGCAGAGTGTGAAGATTTAAGAAAATGAAAAACTATACTTTTTAAGGAGGACCGAGGCCATTTGTCTTTGTTTTCTCTCATTTCAAGAACTGGAGGAGGCAAGGCGAGGTGGCTTATACCTGTAATTCCAGCGCTTTGGGAGGCCCAGGAGGGTAGCTCACCTGAGGTCGGGAGTTCGAGTTCAGCCTGGACAACCTGGCGAAAACTTTCTCTACTAAAACTTCAAAAATTAGCTAGGTGTGGTGGTGTGCACCTATAATCCCAGCTACTCAGGAGGCTGAAACAGGAGAATTGCTTGAACCTAGAAGGCAGAGATTGCCGTGAGCTGAGATCGTGCCATTGCACTCCAACCTGGGCAACAGAGCAAGACTACATATCAAAACAAAAACAAACAAAGAACTGGAGGAAATATGTGGAGTCCAGATTTTAAAAAATAAAATCAATCAATCATCTAAAGAAATGTAATGGTTAATACTGAGTGTCAACTTGATTGAATTGAAGGATACAGGGTGTTGATCCTGGGTGTCTGTGGGGTGTTACCAAAGGAGATTAGCATTTGAGTCAGTGGGCTGAGGAAGGCAGACCCACCGTTAATCTGGTGGGCACAATCTAATCAGCTGCCAGTGAATATAATGCAGGCAGAGAAATGTGAAAGGTGAGACAGGCCTAGCCTCCCAGCCTACATCTTTCTCCCATACTGGTGCTTGCTGCCTTCAAACACCGGACTCTCACTTCTTCAGTTTTGGGACTTGGACTGGCTCTCCTTGCTCCTCTGCTTGCAGACAGCCTATTGTGGGACCTTGTGAACATGTAAGTTAATCCTTAATAACTCCCCTTTATATATATATCTCCTATTAATTCTGTCCCTCTATGAGAAGCCTAACTAATACAGAAGTAAATGGAGAAATATGGAATAGAGAATGATTCAGCCCAGGTCTCTTGTGGCCCTGCAGGGACCCACATAGACCTATGACACTTAGAAGCAGAATGAACTCAGCCCCCATTGGCATTCTCTCAGTATCACATGAAACAGAGGGCTCACTTCTGAGGGCTTCTGCAAACTAACTTCCAACAATCAGACTGGGAAACAGTTGAACATTTCCACTCTGTAAACATTTAGCTATGTGGGCATGAGTTAAATGAATACATTATGCAAAATCAGCTCAAAGCAGACTGTTTCCAGCAATATAATCTGTTTAATTGCATTTTGTTGGCATACTTAAGAGGGCCTCACCCTTACCCTCATAATTTTCATAAAATAACTGCTATTTTGTTGGTGACTTGTATATTGTCACATTTGAGCACTTCATAATAAATGCGTACGATGCCTCAAGGGGACTTTGATCTATTGTTGCCAGTCATCTTATTCGTACTGCATCTGGGACAAAAACCATTCAGCAATACTTTAATATCCTTTGTAGATTGAACATAACCTCATTAGATGCCTTACACAGACAGAAACAGCCTTTGGGCATATCATATTTATATGAACCATCTTGGAAGGCTGAAAATATTTGCAGCCCCATTTGGGCCTTAAGTTTTCCCTATACCATGAGTTTGTGGGTTGGTATTAGTTAAGATTAACATATTTTAAAAGCACACCTAGAGCTGACTCAAAATAGGTGATTTCATATAATATCAGAACAGAATTAAACTGTCTTGATTCATATCTTAGTGTTGGCAAAGATGCACTGATAGCATTATAAGTTATGTGCTACTACCTTCATTTTACTTAAATATTTATAAGAAATAAGTGCCTAGTTGGGAGGGTTAACAAGACAGTGGAGCTCCATAAGCTGAAGCTTGCTGAACTAAAGCAAGAATGTCTTGCTTTGGAGACTAAGGGAATAAAGCAACACATTATCCACAGACTCCAGGCATATCTTGAAGAACATGCAGAAGAGGAGGCAAATGAAAAAGATGTACTGGGAGATGAAACAGAGAAAGAAGAAACAAAGCCTATCGTGTTCTCTGTCAAAGAGGGAGAAGCCCCTGAGAAACTGTTGATGTGGCAGCAGAGAAGAAAGTGGTGAAAATTACATTCGAAATACCGCAGAGAGAGAATGCGGAATGGGGCCAAACGATTCAATGTACCTGTGAGCTTGGAGAGTAAGAAAGCTGCCTGGGCAGCTAGGTTTGGGATTTCTTCAGTTCCGACAGGTCTGTCATCTGATAACAAACCTGTGGTTAACTTGGGTAAACTGAAGGAAAGAGCTCAAAGATTTGGTTTGAATGTCTCTTCAATCTCCAGAAAGTCTGAAGATGATGAGAAACTGAAAAAGAGGAAGGAGAGATTTGGGATTGTCACAAGTTCGGCTGGAACTGGAACCAACAGAGGATACAGAGGCAAAGAAGGGGAAAAGGGCAGAGCGCTTTGGGATCGCCGCATGAAAAGTTCTTGATGCGTTATTTTCTCCAGTGTTTTCCATTTGTCTCATTCTTCTTGGTTACATATATACCCAAATGCACAGTCATGTACCTACGTCCTGCCTTGCAATGAGTGAGCATGTACTCCAGGTACATGCAGCAGCAGTTTGACTATTAACTTTTAAGGTTGTTGTGTTTCTGTTTTTGATTATGTTGCTTGTTAATAATAAGAATAAGAAAAAAAAAGAAATATGTGCCTAGTTTATGTGACTATGGATTCATATGATCAAGACAACTCCATTTTGTTAAAATATGACAACTCCATTTTGTCAATAAATAAATGTATTTGAATCTACTGCAGTTATGCTTGTTTGTCTATAACCTACTCTATTCCAAAATGGTAGTGAGATAGCTTTCAATAAAAAATTTCTATGTCAAAAAATATGAGGAAATTAGAGAAATAGAAAATTTAGTTCATTAACCTGACTTTCTTTCAATTTGCCAATCAACCACAGCTAATAAGGTACCAGCCGTTGTTGTCAATTAGTGATTTTGTCTAATTTATAGTTTTCAGTCTCAATTATAGGCTGTAAATAGAAATTATTTCTAGTCTTTATGAACTTCTTATTTGATTTCAAAACTTAAAAAACGCATTTTGAAAACTTAAGTGGTTATAGTTGACACTGTTTTTGGTAGACAAAGTTATATACCTTTATATAAAAAATTATGCTACTACGTACCCTTATTCTCAAAGAAAATAAGCCAACAACACTGTAGCTTTTTTTTCCTTTACTTGCTTTTTCTTTCTTTTTTTTTTTTTTTGAGACAGGATCTCCCTCTGTCATTCAGTGCAGTGTCATAATCAGAGCTCCCTGGAGCCTCTACCTTCCAGGCTCAAGTGATCCTCCTACCTCAGCCTCCCAAGTAGCTGGGAGTATAGGTGTGCACCACCACACTCAGCTAATTTTTTTTTTTTTTAACTTTTTGTAGAGATGGGATCTCATATGTTACCCAGGGTTGTCTTGAACAGCTGGGCTCAAGCAATCCTTCTGCCTCGGCCTTCCCAAATGCTGGGATTACAGGCATGAACCACCACATCCAACTCAATATTGTAGCTTTGATATGCTTCATGATTAAAAAAAAAAAAAGCCAGTTTATATCCTAGAATGAACATATAATTACAACAAAATTAATTATATCTCTATAACCTCTCCTGTTCTACCCAGAGCTGCCTTTGTAATTTTTTTCCCTTTTTCTTTAATCCACAATTTTCATTTCAACCAATTAAAGTTCAACCTGCAGGTTCCTAACTCCACACACCCCTCCAACCCACCAATCCCTGAACCCCACTCCTAACACATTCTCAAGGCTTGATCCTGAAAAGAAAAGCATTGTGAGAATAATAAAAGGGCGTCAGGAGGTAGGAGAAGTGGAGACGGAAGACCACCTCCAGGAAGTAATGAAGATACTTCCATGCTATTTCAAGTGGTTTTAATAAATCAGTGGCTCTTATTTTGTAGTAACAGACTTTGAGAGTCTGATAAAACTTGATAAAACTCCCTAGGAAAATGTATACACAACACACATATGTAACTATATATATATATATATATATACACATACACTTTTTGGGGAAATGCAGACTCTCTGAAGCCTATCCATGGGCCTCCAAGTCTTTTTATTCCAAAAAAAAAACACCTAAAATAAGACATAAGAATATTATAAAAATAAATTATTGTATTACACAAAATGTGTTTATTTCTCCTTTATGAAACATGTCTAGATAAATAACCTCAGTAAAAAAGAAATAAACAATTATGACTATAACTAAGGGCTCTTAAAGGGCAGAAGTAAAAATGCAAAACTCTAAGTGGGAGTGCAGGG